TTTTTGTACGGCAGAGCTTAATGCAAAGGAATACCTGGTTTTATCAAGAGCCAAAATTTTCCATTAATTTTATTTTATTTAATATTAATACCAGTGGAAGGGTGTGATGACTGAGGCAGGTTTTCTTCTGGTGTATATTGAACATCAAGTAGCTTGTGAGCGCAGCACCAATAGTGCCAAAGTTGCGTGTCTGTATTCTTCTCATTTCTTGAAGAGGGTTGTGATTTCTATGTGGTGCTTCTGGGTGCTCAGATCAGTTCTGAAATGAATTAGTTCAAGTCTTTACATGGTGTCATACTGCCGGGTATTGCAAGCAGTCTTGCTCACAGACAGACCCTGACACAAAGTAAGTGGGTGCAAACAGGTCATGTTGTATAACAGCCTACAAGATGTTGTTAAGGTTTAAACATCCTACAGTGAACTTAAGCCTTTCAAGTGCAAAGATTCTGTTTTGTTTGACCCCTGTAGACAGAGATCATATAAGAGGGACTACCTTGACAATATGAGAACCTGCAATGCTCCATGGGTCACTGAAAGGGTAAGGCAGAAGTCCTCCTCACGTTGCATTTTGTCAGCACGTTTCAGCCACCTCCAAAAAGGACAGGACAGGCTTACAAAGAACTGGGCATGAATCACCAGCTTGGTAATTGTGTGATGTAAGACCTAAAGGGGCAAGAAGAGATTCTGATAACTGAAAAAGTTTATAGTGAAACGCAGAAAATGCTGTATGAGAGAGGTCACTGCTGGAGATTGTCAGCAGTGCAAGAAGAAACATTAGAAATGTCGATCAGCTCAAACTAAGGCATAGGCCAGAGGAAGGAAGGACAGAGAGGGTTAGAAATCTCTGTAATTATAACATAGGGATCACACAGTATCAGTCTCTGAGCAGGATCTGAGCTCTGAAAATGGCCACATAAAACCTAATGTGGCCATCTCTAAGTAAGTGGAAAAGGGAAAAACAGTCTTTCAGTTCCCTAAACTCTAATCCTACATCTCTGCATAGCAGTGTTTGTAGCTCAGGAGTAAACAGGGAGGGATCAGCTCTTTAAATCTTAATCAAATAGTAATGCAAAATACCTGGCCCAAACCAATCTGCAAAGATCTGGGTCATAGGAAGTCAGAAGTAGGGAACTGTGGTTTTCACAGATGGAAAATTTGCACCGATATCACAGGGGTATTTGTATAATCAATTATTCTGAAACATATGTACTCTAAAATTAAGTATACATGTAACTCCACCCTTAATTTATCTCTCAACAATGTTTTGTGCTTTGTCTCACTGTCAAGGGAGCCCAGCTGCACTTGCAAATTAGTGTTAATTTTGCAATGCAGCTGTCATATGCAATGGGTCAGAGCAATGAAAGGCTTTTTAATAGAAATTGAAATTAATGAAATCATAGTCTCACAAGTAATTTTTCTACAAGAGGAACAAAATACTGATACCTTCTTTGTATTCCTCCAGGAATTCAGCATTCCGATATCATGTCAGTCACCCTATTTGCATTTTGTCTAATTTTGTGAATTATTCAGCATTCAGTTTTGGCTCCTTCCGAGTCAGTACAGTGTGTACTCTGAATACATATTACTAATAGCTCCACAATCAGTATTCTGCATTCATAACATGGAAGGAATTAACTGATTTTATGTGCTTATGACATTCAAAGTAAAATATCTGAAAGATATTAGTGTAGATAACATCACTATATGCCTGCATAATAGCACATATGTGGAAAATACACACTGCTAGAATCAGTGTACTTCTTGATCAGTAAAAAACTAACAAAAGTTTAATAACATTTGTGGGGGTTTTAAGAGTCTCATTAAGGAATAATTTTTTCTACAGGTTTTTTTGTCTCATTCCCTTGGCACCAATCCTACAGACACTTTGATACATGCTTGACTTTCAGTATCCAAGTAATCCCAAAGGAGTCAATGTGACTATTCATAGCTTTAACCAAAAAGACATGCTTAAGTGTCTGCAGGATAGAGAGCTTAGACTGTACTCCTGCAAAGAGCTCATAATGAAATGGCCAAAACCCATGGAGTATAACAGAAATGTGCCCTTGAGAATGGAAAAGCTATAAAGCCAAATTTAGTCTTGGAATGTGTAAGCCCTTTGGAAATGAATGGCAACATTGATGTTCACCAAGAAAGAGAGGGCTTCTGTCCCCAATTCCTGTGGTAGCCCTTGGGGTGACATATGTATTTGCAGTCGTCCTTGTGCATGCAAGTCCAGAATACAAAAGCGATTATCTAGTTAAGATTAATTTCAGATCTAATCTGCTAGTTTTCCACATTGTAGAATTCCCTGGATGCTGCTTGGTTTTGTCCCTCTGTAATCAGATTATTTGAAGTTCCATCCATCACAATTGATTTGCTCTGTAATGCATTAAATTGGTGTGATGTGTAATCGTCTAATGTCTTCTGATGCTTCTTTCCCCAGTGCTGCTTCAATCATTGAACAGTGTCTTGATGTGAAGATGTTAGACGAAGTAACACATAGTGTAGCTGCCAATTGTAGACAAGTAAGGAGAAAATCCTAAAATAGGATGTGACAAATGTAATGTAGGCTTACCCAGTGCCAGAAGCATTGCTGCAGTCTGCCAAACTTCTCAGGTTTTTGCACCTTTGAATCTCTTTTCCCACCACCTTCAGAAACCTGCTCAAAAGCTACTATCTATTTAACGGGGGGGGGGGGGTCTTAGCATTCACCATCAGCCACTGATTGATTTTTGTTATTGATGTTCTACTGGAAAACATGCAAAATAATTTAAAAAAACCCAAACCCACCCCCCAAAGAACCCCCAAAACAAAACAAACAACAACCAAAACCCCACTGCATCATATGAACCATTTCAATAGTAAACCAAGTGCTGGGCCTGAAATTTCCTGTTTGAATAAGAATTCTGTGTCATGCCTTGATGGTCGTCAAACAGGCTGAAATAGCAGCATAATGATTCATGAAACAGCATCAAGCAAGGAAGGTGTGAAAGCCTTCCCTCAACTACGTTTTATGAGTTTCATTCCTGAAGTGGAACAGAGTAGTGAACTCAAGCAGAAGTATCTATTAATTTTTACAGCTGGCTATTGCACCATAAACCATATTTGCTCGTGCCTAATATTGGTAAAATAAGAAGTAGCACCTTTCATACTCATTGAGTCAGAATAACAGCACAAGTGAACTACATTACTGAGCTAACTAAGGGCCTGGGTTGCCTTTTAATGAGACTCATATTATTGATCTGCAAAAGCAGAGCTGTGTTCAAGTCCTGTAGGATTGAGTGTCATTTTCGTGTTAAGGCCTGTATTAAATGAAGTAGAAGGGTCAATGGAACACCCAGATATTGTATTTCCAGTAGCAAAGAGATCCTTGCATGACAACAGGTATAAGAAAAATGGAAATGTCCTAGGAAATGTCATGTTTTTCTGTAGAAACAGACTAATGTATTCGTTGCCATAACACAGAGATCAGAGCACCTTATACAGAAGAGTATGAAGAAGAGGGTCTGAGGTGAATCTGTTCTGCTGTAACAGTCTCAGACATGGTGGTAACACACCCAGAGTAATTTTCCTGGCAACTGTCTATGCCAAGGTAGAGACTTTAACACAGAGTAAGTATCAGATGGTGGATGAAGCCCTGTAAGTGTCCTGGCCTGAAGGGAATGTCTGGGGCTAGGAGATACAGCCTTCTGTCTTGTGGAAGCTGTGCTGCCAAATGGAGGAGTTACAGGAGGACAGCACTAGAGAAGAATAAAGGTGATAGGCAGGATCTTCTCTGAAATATAGCAAATTTGAGAGCCCCAAAGCTCGTCTGTAATAGAGAGGCAGTTTGCTCCCTCAATATTAAGGTAAGTGCAACCTCTGGAGAAGGTGAAGGGTGGAAGCTGGTGACTTCTGGCACTAAAAGGAAGGCTCCTGCCCTACCTAAGGGTTTGCAAACACAAAATAAGTTTACTGCCCTCGAATCTGAAGAGGTGTGTGGGTGTTGTGTATGTGTTGTATATGTTAACAGCATGCAGAAGTACTGACATTTCAGAAGAGTCAAGTGGCTCTCTTATCAGAGCCTAGAAGCTGTATGCTAGAGCATGAGGATGGCATAAGTGAGACAGACAGCTGAGCCTCTCGCTTTTCTCTTGTTCTCTGTTGTCATGGGCTAGAATGGAACAAAACTGTAAATCACTGAAACCTTGGGTTTCAGTCAATTGCTGTGGATGGACTTTTTCTGAACTCTGCTGCCAATTGTCGTTGGAGTAACTTATTACATCCTTCAAAATCAGCATTGCAAAAAGTCTTCCTGGAACTACAAAGCATCTTCACTTCAAATGAGAAATATTTGGGCAGTGTAATAATGGTACTCTTCACTCTGTATAGCAGGGCAAACGTGTTGGGTACCTGCTTTTTACCCCTGAGCTGAAGTATCTCCTGTCTGTTTGCTTTACAGCCAACAAGTATGCAAGCAGTGAATTGGCAAGATCTTGCAAATGCTGGATGTGAATTTATTCTTGTTTTCAATGCCTCCAGTTTTCTTTTCATGTTCAAAGCAGTAGACAGTTCAAATGACTGCATTCCTGTTGAAAAGGGCTCAAGTCCACTGGTTACAAGAAACACTTACTTAGATGAGTAGCTTCAAGTTTTTATTGGTAATCAAGAGTTTAATAGATAAATCTTTTTTCCCCCCATAGATATTTGGATATGTCATAAATATATGCAATATATTCTTTAACGCTCTGTGTCAGTCATGAATGTGAAAAAGGCCATGCGTCAGTTGTCTTCCTTTATATACCCCTGTATTTCCTTAGAAAGCATTGACATAAGAACATGTCCTGTCACCAGAATTGGTGTCAACCAGCAGAACTAACCAAAGTGCTTACATTGCCTCTTTCAATCTCTGAGACATATTGAAATATAACTTAGAATCTAATGACTTAACCATGCCCAGAAAACATGGTGCAAGCAGATTCTGCTAAGAGTACAATACATCAAAGGAGTTTCACTAGTGTGTCCTTTAGATAGGATATAGATGACTGTTTCTTTAATTGAAGCAAGTTTTGCAGACAAAGACAAAAAATATGGAATGCTAAAGGAAAATCAAAACATATAGGAGGTGATACATATCAGACAGTTGGGTCTGGCTTGCTTACTGCAGGCAGTTTTCCTTTTGTATCTCCATATTGCTGGGAAATGATGTGTTTCTGTTCTTGTGGTTCTGTGCTAATCCTTTCTGTCATTTCCACTGCTGGCTTTCAGTTTCAAGATTACAAATATGTACACTGGACTGTAGCTAATAAAACACTTCCTTACCTGCCACACAATTTCAAGGCCTTGTAGAGGTCACATTTAAACACTTGTTTGGGATCTCAAGTGTGCAATGGAATCGGCAGGACTGAGCTTGTTGCTTATCCATCTTCAGAACACTTTCAATAGTGCTATAAAACTTCTATTCAATGACATTTGATTACACTACTTGTAAGGATATTCGCCAGAGCAATCCTACTGCCTTGTTCAAGGGTACTGTCTGCTTCAGGTAAGAAAATGCAGTGCCATAACCATGAAAGAAACCCCATCAAAGCAGTGTATTCTGAGCCTTGTATGCTCAGACTGGGCACTGTTTGTGGTTTTCCCAGTTGATTTTTCAGCAGAAATCCTCTGCTATTATAACTCAGCTAGAGACTTCCCTTTCTGTTCTGCCACTGTAATACACTGCTAACACATGCTGATCTGGCAAATCAGGTGGGTCATGCAGAAACCTCCACCCACCTATGGTTTTTCCAGTATACTGAATCTTCCCATTACAGAAGCAAATGCTTTTAAAAGCCCATCTTCTCTCCAGCATAGATACTCCTAAGTGCAACCTGAATAAGTGGGTTTCCTTACAATGACAACAGTTTTCTCTTATTTCTGATCAACTTGCTTATTCCCACCATAATTGTCAAAAAACTACAGTGCTTTCAAAAAATGAGGGAGAGCAAGCATTTTCATGTTTTTTAACTGTTTTTATACAGTTGTAAATTTTAAGTGACATAGGTATGACAAATGCCTGGTTTTCATATATCAGTCATGTAAGACACCACTGAATCAGGTCTGTTTAACTAAAGAATAAATGAAAGGGTCTGATTCTCCATCTGTTGAAGTCCCATGGGTGTAAGTTCAATAAGAGCAGTACCTCCTCTTTGATGGTTTCTTAGATATTGCTAATCTATATTTAAAACGTGTTTTAATTAAACTTGAAAATTAATTTCCTTTAACATCTGTTTAAAATAGATTAGAATTAATGAAGTCTGACCCCCTTATGGGTTAGCACAAGTGAAATAATTACTCTTCAGCAGCACAGGACACATTGTACTGGACTTTCTGGCTCAAGTTAGTGGTAGGAAGTCAAAGGAAGTTCAGGAAATACCAGAAGCTTTGAACTGCACTAGAAAATTTAGTTTCTCTTTATGAAAATTGAAAATGCATATGCTAAACTTGCATTGTGTCACTGCTACTAGTATTATGGAAAATTACCTGCATAAATTGAATATAGGAATATTCTAATTTGGAACTTGAAAGTGATTACAGAAAAATTAGTTCCTAAGGATGTGATAAGGATGGTACTCTTTAAAATAATGCTAATTCAGGTATCATCAACTCGTCTGAATTCAAAGTGAAAGAATTTCTTCACAAATCCTTTCAGTACCTCTGGGAAGCTACTGCTGCTGCCTACCACTGCTTCTTACCATTCCAGGTGCATTCAAAGGCTGAAGTCTCGTTTGGCCTTAGATGGAAAAGGATCCAACTACAGAGAGACACAGGGTATTATTCTGACTGCGGATACTGGCAGTGTAACTAAGTGAAAGCATCTAAAAGGAAAATGCAGTAGTAAAATATTTTTTAATCAGGTGAAATAATTTTCACTAAATCTTACACGAACCTCTAGTTCTTCAAAGAGTAACACTCTCATTGATCTTCATTGCTAATGAATTTTCCTGTACAGATACCTTCCAGAGTGTGAGCTTCTACTGACCCCCACTGAACCTGCTGCCCAACATTGGAAGGTCTGTCTTGACATCTGACAGCCTCCTCATACCTTGGTGGCAGCTCTTCCTGCTTAATCCCTCAGGCAATCTGGGAGACCTTAATTAGAGAGATTCCCTACTGTTATATTGCTTTGCTTTTTCATTATTGGAAAGATTGCTAGCAGGAAAAATGAAATGTGTTTGCCCTATTTGATACATATGATAGCCTGATCCATGCTCATCTGAACGCCTGTTTCCAGCATGACACTTGCTTGAGAGCAGCTTGCAAATTCAGAATGGGGTCTGAGGAAAAGCTGGCTCTCTCCTGGGTCATAACCTGTTGTGAAGGAGGGTTTTTTAAAGCCTCTTCTTCACCCCACACCTACAGCCTCTTTGCAGTGCCTGTGGGACAGGTAGTGGGATTGCAGGCAGGCTGCTTCCTGCTACAGTAGTTTTGTTTGAATGGGCTCAGATTTATCTTTATCCTTGGTTGGCACAGTGGTAACTGGCAAAGCCCATAGTCATTTGCTAAAAGGAGGGGTGAACTGAGGTGCTTATGGTTTCTTATGACCCTCGTTTCTCCTAACATGCTGGTTCTTTATGCTCAACCTCTGCAAATAGTCTTGTCTTGACACCTTTTGTGCTCTGGAGAGGGGAGCAGAGCAGTGAAAGAATTAATGCCAGTTCTAGAAACTGCTGAATGGGTTTACCTGGAAAATAGGGTTTATTTATGTTTAGTCTATGGAACAGAAAGCAATGGGGAGATCTTGCTCATGCCTAATGTAAGGACATAGAGAAGACAATGTCAGATATCTCTCAAAGGTGCACAGTTATAGGAGAGGCAGCAGGCAAGTTACAACAAGGGAAATTGCAATCAGATACAAAGAAGAATTCTACCCTGAGGGTAATCCCACACTGGTGTGGATGCCCGGAGGGGCATGCGCCTCCATAGGATGCATTAGAGCACCTGGCCTTGTGTAGCCTGACTTCAGCTGGTCATTCCCAGCCCAAATTACTCTGTGGAGTCTATGGTTTGATACCACTAAATGGATACCTGGGTGTTTCTTGTGTTCAGTAACACACCTCTTTTGTTACTGAACTTGGTATAACTCTATCTACCCCAATCCGCGTTTTCACTTAAGAGCAATGGAGGAATGAAGTACTATGAAGACTCCTTTGAACCTTCTGGTAATCAGGATGTCAAGCTATTTATAGCAACATCTATAGCTTTGGAGACCTTTGATAATTTCATAGCAGAATACATATATCTTCATCCTGATCTGTTTCCTATACTCAGTGTGGCATTTTCTGTTGCACTGCATTTATGCAGCATCCAAGGGCTATTTTCCACATGTGGAAGCAAACAATGGTGTAAGTTTCTTTATCACAACTGGTGTAACTAAGAAAAAAAATCAAGAAAGCAGATGGTGGAAGTTAGTCTGCTACATCCCTCATGCTGGAAGTCAATTGATCATCAAAATGCTGCTGAAAAACATGTTTTAAAACACATCCTTAATGCATGAAAAGATATTTTGCCATTCTGATAAGCTGAGCATGTTGGGGTATGATTGAAGGAGGGAGGAAAGCAAGCGCAACTGCTGAGTCTGACCCCAACATGTTAGACTGTGTTAATAAGCCTGGCCTGGCAGGATGTGTTTCTCCAGCCGAAGCTGAGGGGTCATGTGCAGAGCTGTGAGCAGAGGAGGCTTGCTGGCTCAGCTGGTATGTAATATGCACAGCATCCTTAGTGCTGGTCTTGATGTGACAGTAGATTCTGATGCCTTACACTGAAACTTCTCTTATTTGTATTTTCATCAATCCTAAAGCTATTCAAAACTTTTTTCTGCCAAAACAGATATGCCTTATACATGAAACACAGCAAAAAACATTTTCTTTTTAATTTTCAGGAAGTCTGTTATTGCCAAAACATAAACTGCTTAAGGAGGAGGAGGAAAACTGGAGTAAGTGATATTTGGCAAGATCCACATGTTCCATTTGTTTGTGCAACAATCACTGCTGCTGACTTACAGCTTCAGAGGCAGCTGCATAAATACAGGGCTGTGATGACTGAGGAAGCCAAGAGACGAGCTGTAGAAAAATAACAGATAAAACCAGACATGTTCTGGATGCCACAGGGTAAGGCAGAGCTGAGCTATGCTGCAGAAGTCTTGCTGCGCTGTTACATACCTTCAGCATCCTTTTTTGGAGTATCTTTCATGTTGTTGGGAGGCTTTGTTTGGTTTTCTTATAAGGGTTTGCCATTAAAGTTTCATAACGAAAGAGACTCAAGCCATTCCTGAAAATATTAAGGAGACTTTCTGATGCAAGCAGTCAAAGCCTGCTTTTCTGGGCCCTGTGCTCCTGAGCAAAGGGTCCAGGAAGCCCTGAATATATCAGCTTCTGGTGTTTGCTAGCTGCTTATATGTGGGGTTTACTCCTTTGTTTTGTGGAGAAGTCCTAGGAACTACAAACTAATGCATTTAGTAAGTGCTGGAGCTCCTGACACCCAGTCCCTGTGAGAGCTGACCTCCCCCAGATAAGGCCAGCACAAGCTTTTTCATACAAGGCTAATGCCTGCAGCCTTACAAGGGTTCTGCTGTGCAAGTTAAGCTTTGTCAGGCACTGTAATTTCTTTCTGCTTCTGATAAAACAGTAAAGAGATCATGGCATCAAAGAAATAGGCTGGAATAGAAAAAGTTATCTATTGGGTTTTTTTAATTGCAAATATTCACCTATAAAGCTTATTGATTGCTGCATGTTTACCAGAATTGAGCAATATTACGAAGCAATGGTATTAAATAAAGCTGTGACACAGCTCACAGGCAAATGATGCATCTGAGTAAGAGCATCTGAATCTCAGTTTCCAAAACACTGGTTTTATTTTTTAATTTTTTTTTTTTTTTAACTAGTGTGTTAGCTTTGTATTTCTTAAAGGCATACCTCATGAATTCCCTGTGCATGTATTGGTTTTAGCTTACAACTGGATACATTGCTTCCCTTGCTGATCAGGTCAGGTAATGTGTCTGCCAATTACACTTTAAAATTATCCTATAAGAATTCCTACAATATCACTACATACTAGGATTCTCTTATTTCTGGTGTACCTGCTACACTTCATCAGAAAATCTTCCTACATGCTTCCTCTCCTTAAATAACTGGTCAAATAGCCATGCTGAGTGTTATTTAACACGGTGCTATAATCTAAAAGCTCAGCAGGCATGTCTTAAGTAGGCTGCAAACTAAGGAAATATTTGGTTTCTCTACTGATGCTTGCAATTTTCACCCCTTATCTTTGCTTTTGAAATGAAACTAAGTGATACATATGCAGAAATCACCGATTTGACTGGTTTCATCTCACTCAGGGCAGACGGACAAAGTTTTACTTATAAGAAGTAAAGGCAATTCTCAATACTTTGTACTGTTTGTAAGGAAACTCTTGAGAATAAAAGGTGTTTGGGTGAAATGTTTAGGTTTATGTGTGAAGGGGCACTTGTTTGTTCATCTGCTTTTGCAAGGTACATTTAAGTGGTGATAGTCTTCTTTTAGCAGTAGTGCTGTCATTCCTGCATTCCCCTGTTCTATAAAAATGATGATTAATTTTCTCCATGCTTGGTGCAATTTTATTTTTTATTCAAATCAACCATCATAAATAATAAAATACCATGAGAAAAATTAATATGTTAACCAGCTGATGGAGTTAAGCAGATATAGATGTATCTTCTGATTTTATTCCTCCAGGTCAGGGTTGTATTTGGATTATCAGGACAGTTCTTTCAGGTTCTGTCAAGGTCCTTATTTTCTTTCCAGGGATACTTGTAATCCACAGGCTGAGGTGAGCCTGTGCTCCAATTGCTTCTCTCTGTAGAGCTGAGGGGAAATATGAGTCAGAGACAGAAGCTGGTCTTGAACTAGAAGCAATAAAGTAAATTATCTTTTCTATTTTTCTTCCAAGGATGGAAGATGGGAGGTTTCATGACATCCCTCTGGAGCTGTGTGAATTGAGATGGCACAGGACTTTTCTTTATATTAAATTAAGTAACAGTTTGGCTGAACAAATCAATCTAAAAAGTGCCTCTAAAGCTGTTTACTACGGCTTGCTCCTATAGTGTTGATTGATTTTAGTGAAAGATGTGAACCTGAAGGGCATGCTTCTATGTGGAGTTTTGTTTTTTTTTGGGGGGGGGGGGAAGTATTGTTGAGTAACTCCATGTGTGGGTGTGCAGGATAAGAGTGCTTTTTGATGGTTTAGTTGGATCCAGGAAGCTGAATATAATTGCTGATACCAGATTTCCTGGTGGACACAAGAAAAACTATTTACCTAGTCACAACAAAGTCCTGCCATGTATTTGAAGAGACTACAGATCCACTTACAAGATAGTGGCAGAAATAGTTTGCCTTTCCACAGAGTCATTGATAAGAAAACATCCCAGCATTTTAAACATGTTCTGCCCTAGTATTTTAAAGTGGTTTTCACCCCCATTTTATAGATGAGGGAACTGAGGCACAATGAAGTTTAGCAACTACCTGATGCTGGAAACCTGGAAAAGGTCATATGCAACAATAATAGCTGGTTCTGGATAGCAGTAACCTAATCAATGGATAATATTGTCTTAGAGCTAAAAGCCTGGAGAAAAAAGCTGAAATATGCTTCTTCTCCTCTCTGTCTTTACTCATGTCTGCATATCAGTCACTGAGCTGGAAAAATGTGAATATTGCTGTACAGCATGAATGAACTAAGTTGTCTCTTGTGCAGCGAGTGCATTTCCCAGCTGGGTAGGACATTGCAAGGCTTTCACGAGTCTCCAGCACTATTTCACTCAAGCAAGACCTTCTTGAGGAGGTCCTGGTTGAATGTGGCTTTTATTTTTCTGTCTGGAGGGATACAACAATCGCCTGTTTTCAGCACAGCCTTTGTGTGGCAGTCTGCATAAACAGAGCTCTGGTGCAACAGGGGCTGATTCAGAGATTCAAGAACCCTAGCTGTAACTAATCTCTATTAGTTAAACAGGAACTTTCCTGAAACCACTAGCTGGGGAAAAATTGCAGCAAAATGCTCAAAGGGCAATGCAGATAAAATCAGTGCAGGAGTGATGAGGCTGCTGCTTCTTCCAGGTCAGATTGCTCTCCACTTAGGTACTTAAGTACTTAAAAAAACAAACAAAACCCCACCAAAACCCCACACCACCAAATCCCTCTTCAGTCCTGACATTTTGAAATAACTCAACTTTGCACAAGTAATGAGTTTGCCTCCTGGCCCAGGATTCCAGAGGAGGATACTGTGAACCTTGCTCTGCTATGAGATGGCTTCCGGGCTACAAATACACTTTCTATTCTCTAGCTGCATTTTGCACTGACATGAAATGGAGATGGTTAGATTGCCTTCTGGTGCCTGTCTGTGCCAGTAACCACTGCTGGTGGCCTGTTGTTTCTCCGGCGATACTCAGAGGTGATGTGCAAAGGGGAAGAAGTTAACTGTTTGACAAGGGCAGCTTTATTTACGGAGTGCTGCCAGGCTAAAACCAGTTGAACTGCATGAAATAATGTGCATTGGTTTGGAAAAAGAGATGAAAAGCTGTGACACTGATTGGCAGTGAAAAGCCTATAAAACAGCACACATCAGTGGAGTAATTGACTGCTTCCTTCACATAAATGATTTTCTTCCTTGCACTATTCCTTATGCACTTGAACAAGCTGCAATTCATATTGATTGAGTGTAACAAACTTAAATAATTTTCTGAAAGCCATGATATGAGACAGAACTTGGATGAGAGGGTCTTTAAAGATAATACTAGTAATATTAGTAACAATCATTTAGGGATTATCCACAAAACCGCTGACTCGCAAACTGTACTGGGAAAATAATTTCCTTCACAGGAGTTCAGCCAAGCAAGGGAAGAGGACAGTGCTGACTTTGCAGCCCTAATGCACCCATCTCCCTCTATCCATCTGCTTCCCTGAGCTCCAGAGCTCCTTAGAAGCTTGCTCAGTGTCGCTACCTTGAGTGTTGTTCAGTTATTTCCAGGGATCTGGGGTCTGAATTTTGGAAAAGTGAAAACCTTTCTGTTGAGTGCCTGCCGGCCTTGTTGCTTTTAATGAATTTTCCAGTATGTGAGTGTTGGCTTTGCCCCCATATAAGGAGGATCAGGTTTTCTTAAAATCCCAGCAGGAGCCTGTGCAACTTACAGCTAAAGCAAGCATGTCTGCAGGACCTGGCTGCCCAGCCCAAACCCCATGTGCTGCTGGTGCGCTACCCTGCAGCCGGGCAGAATTAACCTGTGCTGCAAGATTAAAGGACAACCTTGGGCACGGAGAGGACATCAGAGAAACAGAATGCTTCTGCCAAAGCAGTGTACTCTGCAATAAGCAGATAACTCTGAGCCGCAGCACTAGGTCTGGAACCAAGCTGTTGAAAAGTTTGGCCTGCTCAGATGTAGGGTTTCTTCATAAACATCTCCATGACAGAAAAAGTTTGCAGTTTCTCTTTTGCTGCTCTGGATTCATAATCCCAAGCGTTCTGCTGTCGAGTATGTTCACCTTATGTTTTTCCCTTGATCTGTTGTGAACTAAGGGGTAGCGTGGGGTTTAGTCTTTTTTTTTGGTCGGCTTTGCTTTATTTTGCAATGAAACCATATGCTATTCTTATAGTCTCACACAAGGTTCTGTGAGCTTCTGTCATCACAATATTTACAGGGGCTGTTGCGTACCAGCTATGAGACTTTACTGCGGCATAACAAGAGGAGCTGGGTCCCTGTGAAATGTGTGGGAACAAAGTTTTCCTTAAGTGGAAGTGTCTCTGAATGTTTCCTAGCCTCTTTGCATAACTGCCAGTGGGTTATGTAAGGCAATGAGGTAGTAGCATTCTCCCTTTGGAAACCGCTTTCCGGGCAGGGAAAGGAAAGCGTGGCAGAGAAGGCGGCAAAGAGCAGGCAGGGCAAGTGTCCTGCTGGGAGTGAACCCAGCCTGGCCCCTGCGCGTGCCCAGGGGCTTCCCCCATTCTCCCCCACCTTGGTTTCTGCTCTTCGATGGGGCCCAGATCTCGTGACTGGCACAGACACAAAAAAAACAGCGGCGAGGACAAAAATGAATACTGGTGCCTCGTACTTGAGTGGGGCACGTGACCAATGAACGTGCCTTTCCTCTGTATCCAAAGGGCTGAAGAGGATGTAACTGAACCATTTCCCAGTGTAAAGATAGAGTTCAGTGGCATGTCTCAAGGGATCATGCTAAATTGATACTGTGGAAGATAATTAAATCGTGTGGCAGTTTATCACAGTACATGCCTGAATAATCAGTGACTTTCAAGGCCTTTAAATCATGGGTTTGTAGCTTGACTGTATTTATGAACCGTAAGGAACTCCTATGGATTTTGTTTGGCTGTTAGATTCTGTGGAAGAGAAGTCGATTTCTGCTTGGTTGAGTGATGCCACCTTGCTAAAAATGATGAAGTACTGACCTGGATGTGGGCAGCCAGCTCTGTTGCTTTCAAAACCCAATCTGAAGTTTCAGAGAGGGTTAAAAATTGTCAAAACACTTATGTGAATACCCTGATATGTCAATTCCATTCACATCTTCTCCTTTACTTTGTCAGTTATTCCCTCTGCATTTTCCTCTCTTTAAGAAAATCTGGAAACGTTGTCTGCAATTCTTGTATTATTCCTTCTTATATTATGGTTCCCGCTAGTGGGAAAACAGAGCAGCAAAACCTTACATCTCAAAGAGAGAGAAAGTGCTTCTGAATCGGGCTGGTGGTTGGGGGGGGGGGGGGGGACACAAGGCCAGAGCTGCTGGGAGGTTTAGAGCACAAATTTCTGGGTGATGCTTGCTGCTTTTCAAACTACCCTTTCTGAGCATCATGAGAAAGACAAAACCTCTCAGGCACACCTGATTTTATTGCCACTGAATGATGTTTTCATTCTCTCTGTTGTCAAATTGACTCAAACACCCCTGCCAGAAGTTAGGACGCAAAAGGAGTAACAAATTAACCCATGTAGTTAGTAAGGCATCTCCAGAATGTTTTTAATATTTGACTTTGCAAAAGCTCCATCTGATCTGTGCTTTTTGCACCACTATTTTGTTCCTTCTTTTCTCTGTATCATCCTCTTGGTACTTTTTAATTCCTGCCCTGGTCATGCACAGATGCAAATTTCTACCTTAGGCTTCTAGACCTACATTAACATATGTCAAATTCATCACAGTGACCTGGACCCCAGGAGCCCAGTGTATCACAGTCTGTGAGAGCCTGGGACTGTCTGTGTTTGCCTTGAATGTCAATCTAAGACCTTAGAAATCTCTGTTTTTTCTCAGAATGGCTTTTTTCCTAATTAATCTCCATACATGACCAGGTGTACGTACACATAGAAAGACAAGCACAGGCGTATGTGTAATTAACCCTTGCCTTCCTATGACTGTATTTTGTAAGTGCAACTTAGAGGCTTACATCCTGCTTACAGCTGTGTCTTTCTCCCCAGGCTCATATATTACAACACCGAATAACTACAGATACCTTGTGTTGTTGGTTTTTTTTCTGCAGTCTATTGTCATCTAGTTCCTGAAATGATAAATTTCAAAGTCTAATATTTTTCCTGTAAGAACAAGGAATACTAGGGAAAAAAATGCTCAAGTAGAACTTTGTTGCCCTTTTGCTATCTGTAAGTCAGTCTGTTGAAATCAGTTGAACCTTGTCTGTTCAGCTCTTTCAAGATACAAGGCATTAAATATGTTATTTGAAATTCATAAAATAAATAAGTTTTATAACTCGGGGCCCAGCTGCATCAACATGAAAATGTTGTTGTACTTTACAGATCCTGCTATCTATCATTCAAGCATATCTAAAAGCAAATTCAGTAATTGTTTCCTGCTTTCAAATAATACAGTTGAACTGTAAATTTTCAATATGCCAGATTTAGCAATTCACTAATAAGGCAATGTCAAGAGCTCCATCTTTCAAACTCTCAGTTGCAGAACGACATTGCTGTCAGAAATGCTTTGCACGTGCTCTTAGTCCTGCCGCTCCCATCTGTGGATGTGTAAAGATTAGATTTGAAAAATACCTTGTTAAAAGCAAGGTTTCTAAGGTTCGAGCATCAAACATGTATAAAGTAGGAAATGGCAAGACTGAGGCAGCCTTTTACAGATTTAATTTGCTACCCACACCTCTTCTGCTGATATATATACATTCTTGTGCAGTCTTTAAAGATAGAATCAATTATTCTTTTTCCCCTAAGCTTTCTCTGGGAGTTAATTAGGGTTGTCTAGTGAAGGAGATGTATAAAAAAGAGGTATCCTACCTAAAAAACTTGGGAGGCATGCAAGTCCATAGAAAAAATAAATCTTTTAATGAACTACAGAACTAATGCAAACTGGTTTCCCATGGTTTCCAGGCTTTCACTCCTTAAACCCCCTTTCCCTGCTTTTTCTTCCATAACTTCTCTGCCCAAGTAAACGGCTGGTGTGTCTGAGCCCATTCTGAGTCCTTTCCTTTACCCAAGTGTGCACAGTTTGAAGAGTGTTAATTATCTTTGACATCACTGACCTTCCGTGAAATTGGGCTGAAACTGCCCAGCAGGTTCACACATTGTCAAGGCAGGTGAACAGATGGATGGAGAGAGAGTTTGACTAACCTCAGGTTTATTGTTTTTCAGAGATAAACATGATACCAAGTAACTTGGTCTTACTTGTACCACAGATTCCTGTGATGTGATTTAAGTCATTTAAGCTAAATTTTTCACAGATAGTTGCAAATTTGTATTTTTAATTTTCTGAGCACCTTGTTTAAGTAGACTGATGTGTGAAAGCGCTACAGCATTCATGGCTGCATTTGAAATCTATGGGATTGTGTAATATTAAGTAGTGACAAAACACCAGGCCTGAAAATCTTAAACCGGGCCAAAACATATTGGTGATTCACCAGGACGCTGTAGGGATGACTGCCAGCAATAACCCTTGGGAAAATTTATAATGATCCTCTTACTGGGTTTTGGCTGGTGATGTAAACAGACCTTTGGAGCTTTATGCTAAGCAAGAAGAAAGCAGTCTCTTGAATGGCTGCTCACTCATTCAGCTCTATCTGGCCATGTACCAAATGAGGCATGTTCCTAAAAGAAAGATAATTTGTCATCATGGCCTACGATTGTACCATTTTGAACACAAGGAATTATTTCCCACAGGCATGATATAAAAGGAAGAGAGGAGAAGCAGGAGGTTGAACAGCCTTAATTCAATGCTGAAATATTTATTTCACAGCTTAAACCAAAGTTCTCACCTGAAGAACATTGTTCTCACATAGAACATGCTTATGAGCAAATATAACATTAATATTTTTCAAAAGCTTCCTTCTTGTGGCCCCTATGATTAGAGACTTCCAGCAAGTGATCTACATGTAACTGCAAAGCAGAACAAATTTTGGAAAGCAGCTTGGTACCCGTCAGGGCTGAGGAGAAAGGAGGGAGCAGGAAAAGGGAACTGTGGTCTAGTAAGTCACTTGTCTGCCAAAAACCAGACCCTGACATTTGGTACACAGGGAAAGTGAAGCACAAGGGAATGTAATTCTAATAAACTGATATCCCTAGCACGCAATCTTCCTGAAAAATAGAGCCTAAGATTTCTGTGTTGGAGCGCAAACTTTACCTGAGCTGCTAAAGAAAATGGGCCCTTACCTTACCACAGAGAAAAAACATATTCTCCTCTTTCACCATCCAGACCATACCAGAAGCATTTCCATCCTCAGATGCTTGCTTGTCCTCCAGTTTGTCTCTTTTTCACTGAGGCTCTGACACTGGCCAGAGCACTGTTGTTTGGGTTTTTTTTTTTTTTTAAAGTTAAAAAATAGTAATAAAAAGAAACGTAATGGGGTAGTTCATTCACTGTGGGATGTCCATAAACACAAGATGTGCCAGCAACTCCTGAAATGACAAAATATAAAAGGATTGCAGAATTATGGTTCTGTCCTCCAGAACTGAAAAACACATTTTGGAGACAAATAGAGAAATCTCAGCTTTAAAAAATGAGCCCTTATGTTGTGCTGGCAACCTTATTAACGAAGAAATTATATTTATTGTTTGCTGTCTAACTGACAATAACACCCCATATCAAGAAAAAAATAATGCCAGCTGAGTCCAGCACATTTGGAGACAGCTAAAAGAGTATGATACTTCCTAACTTCTTCATTTACTGTAGGGCTAGACTTGAATATTTACACAACAATTGAGTCCCAGTTTCTTCCATGGCAGCCTCAAAATTCACTGACCCTATTCTCTGCACGCTTCCATGGTACAGACGATAACCAGGATTATAAGGATGTCTAATGATTGGTAAGATTTGGTGTAGTTTGGGGATCTGCTCAGAGAAACTGGACCATCAGTTTCCCAATGCACTAGTGAGGCAGGTTAATTAATTCCTATTAAAATCAGCAAATCGAAAAAGAAAGTGGAATGGTGATTTGCAGATTTCTTTTTAGCAAGCCACAAGTACATCTATATAGTCCTTCCTGTGAATCTTTTCCACCATAGCTGGAAAAAGCAGACACACAAGGATCATAAGACTACTTCATGTCAGCTTAGAGGAAGAAACAGAGGTGAAGTTCACAGGCCCCAAAGAGTAAGGTGAAAAAAGCCCCCAGGCTCACTCTTTGCCCTTCAGGGAGCAGAAATAATGCGGAGTGAGGAAGATTGACTGAAAGATTAGGATTTTATAAACTTTATTACTAGTGTTGGAAAGAGTTACCAACAAAGAACTTTCAGTATAAATTTTAGATGGTGAGAATATCAGCAGTATGCAGGGCCAGATGAAACAAATCATCCATCAAACTGTAAAAAACCTATCTCCCCATCCTTTACCCTTTTGGCAGTGTTATCTTCCTTTCCCAGTTTATTCTGCCCTTGCAGACTCTCTACTCAGCTGTAGAAATTTGCTCTTCCCCTGGAAAAAGACAGCATTGATCTAGCAGGCAGGCATCAGGGTCCAGGATGACCCTACTATAACTGTATGTGCATCTCCTGTGCATGGCAGAGGAGACTTTAACCTGGTAAGTGCTAGCTGCATTCTCTACACCTCTTCATACTTTCAGGCAAAGGTGAACAGATCCATCTTTTTCCTTCATAATTCAGATCTGAAGCTGATGGAGCAAGCAAGAAAGTGAGCACAGAGGGCAAGACATGAACTCCACATTGATGACATCTAGAAGAACCACAGCATCTTTAAGGTAAATAATTTCCTTTCATGCTTACACGCCAGTTTACACCTGCACAAGCTAGCGTTGTCTTCATGGTGGTACAAATAATGAACACTTGGTGCATCAGCCAGTCATTGCATTATTGCTCCTCTGAGCTGGCGGTGTGACTGATGGCGAAGTTCAAAGGATATTTCTTTCAAAGGTCACTGTCCTAGATCATATGTCTGCCTTGCCAGTTTTTCATACTGACACTCTTCTAGATAAGAGAGAAGATGCCCCTGAACTTTGAAGTCTGGTGAAATACATGCACCAGGCAGCACACAATACAGAGAGACGTTTGTGTCATCTGTTTTGGGCTCTGGGACAAGATAGCCAGGCTGTAGTCTGAAAGAGGTAAGATCACTTCTGAAAGATTGTCTTACCAATATAGTAAGCAAGTTATTTTGCCTACAAGTAACTAATGTCTTTCCAGTTGATTAAGCATTTTGCTTGTGATTTTTTTAATTTGCAGGGAGCAGCCCTGCTGCAGTGATTTAAGTTGTGGATGGAGTGTCAGTTTATGTCCTTGTATGAGGGCTAGATCAGAGGCTGTATGAGCCTCTGTTTACTACAGCAAATAGTAAATTACTGTAGCAAGTCTGTCAGCCAAAAGTATCATGGCAAGTTGTAAGCTATAAGAATGATGCTGGCTTTGTCCCTCTTGTATGAAAAGGGCACAGAAGAGCACTGGATTTGATAGAGAGCATAGGAGAAGATCTAGGACCAAAGTCAAAGTCATCTGACTTAATAGCTGCTGCAACTGATTCAATACCTTCTGCATATTGGCCCCCTACAAAAGGAGTTTTCATTGTGGAATATGATGCATGTTGAAAATGAGCCCTACCCAAAATCATTTTATCCGGCCTCACTTAAATAATGTGGAAATCCAAAGAGTAGTTCAGCACATGTAGTTTGAGCTTGGCATCTCTTGTTTGGTGACACACAGGAAAAAATACTACAGTAATATGGCACTTGTAGAACGAGCAGTTAGTGAAGAAGAAATGTGATCATTAAGGAATATGACAAAACCTGGGAAAGTAAACCGCTCCTGGCTGAACAAATGGATAGAGAGTGCACAAAGATTCCTAGCAGCATTTTGGGGAGGTAAAGAGTAAAACAACCCAGCCAAGCTGAAGAAAGTTAATACTTAAAGATAATGTTAATGGTAGAAGATTTTGGGCTGTTCTTTCAATTTCTCAAGTGTCAGAGATCCATGAGATACTGTTTTAGTAACTCTATGTTTTAGAAAAGGATTTTATTTGTTTCTATTTGTTCTCTGCAACTTTGTTTCCAGTGTTTTAATGAGTATTTACATTTGGCTACAATCAACGTGCATTTTCCACATTAAAGAATACCTGGTTTAAGAGAGATCCTGGGTGACTTTCACAGGAACAAGGTGTACTGATTGTCCAGTATACCCACAATTGCTTTTACAGCTGGATGCAGTATGCATTGAGGCCATACCATTCACCAAAGCAGTCTCAAGGTCACCTTAGACTGCCATCACAACCATCTGCCACCATTAAACTACACCATTAAAACTAATCAGCTACACCATTAGACTGCCACCATGGCAATCTAATGGATGTCAGCAAGTATTTTGTTTAGAGACAGTGCCAGTCTGGTGATGCTCAGTTTCATAAGCTGCTATATTTGGAACAACTATCTTTAAACTCATTTCATACAATCAACAAGCCAAATTCTTCTCAGCTTCACCAGCACTTGCTCTTAGCAGCAAAAATCACAATGAGAATACGATTTTTTGTCATTGTACACAAATCCTGAATTTATTTGAGAGTCTCTGGCCTGGAATGTTTCTTGGTAAGCCTTGAGAAAGGGGTTGAGAGGCAGTACTGTGAAAAGCAAAGTTTTGAGGATAAATCTTTCCTCTAAGGTGTTAATCAGTGATCCTCTGACAAGGAGCAGTGGGTTGGAGGGAAGTTTCAATGACCAAGTGTTCGCAACCTGTCAGGGCTGTAAAGGGAGAAACAAATCAAGTACTTGTGGATGCTATTCAATAGCACAAGGCACACGCAGCCCCCAAGGACATGAATATTCAAGGATGTGTTTTCACTGGCCCAGAGCTCATGCAAGCTCTCAGTGAGATCCACACTTTGTATTTCATTGGTAATGCTTTGTATTTCAAGCTGAATACTAACTTCAAGAATCAGTAGAAAGTGAAGAGAAGTTCACAGAAAAATGATAATGAAAACAGTTTTGGGTAAAGAAACTTCATAGTGATTTTTAAGTTATAAATGTATATATTTGGTATGGCATTTGAAACTGCTGGTTTTACCCACACTTTACAAGTGCAAAAAAATTGGAAGTGCAGTGCTATGTCTGTTTTATATATCTATATATGTGTACATAAGTATGTACATGTGTGCATATACATATATACATAGTTATCAGTGTCACTGAAGAATCTGAAAACCTAGTATATGTTCCAGTGTATCAGGTGTATGAACTACGCAACATAATAGTAATGCATATTCAGGGACAAATCCACTTGCTTTGTCATCCATGGGAAATAATTTCTGATAGATGCACTAACAGGGGAACTATAGTTGAGAACAAAAAATTTTCATTATAGTTTTCAATTTCCATTTTATGTTGCCTTACCAAATAACTTACTCTTCAATTCTCAAACCCATAGTAGTAATTCACAAGGGCCATTACTCCAATAGTCCTTATTTTGCTATCCTAGGTATTTTTATTCCTTCTAAAAAAAGTTTTTTAGTTTAGACCACGCTGACCATAAAGCATCTATGCCTAAATGAGATGTTCTTCCCACTCCAACACCCCAACTCTCCTCTTCCCCCCCCCCCCCGTATTTCTTAGGAAGAATATAAAAAACCTGTGGCATATGGGGTTTTATGGCATATGCCTGAGCTTGAATTCTTGTTCCCTTTTGTACTTTGAAAGGTTTAAACCAGCACTGCACATTTTTCACTAGCAAATGACTCCTACATCCCTGCTGTTCTGCTGCAATCCATCGGTTTCATGGGGTGCAGCACAAATGCACACACTTGTTATTGTCATAAATTCACTGTGCAGTTTGCCTTCTTTCCGTGATGTTCTCCAGGAGACCTGTATGTTCACTTCTAAGTAATGATGTACAGGCATAACATAGCTTTGAGGGACTGCTGAATCCACACTATGATTTAATTGTGTAATTGTTGATCCATGTTTTCCCACCATACGCAGCCCTACCTGTCTCTTTTTCCCCTAGCAGATGTAACTAATCACCAACACACCTGTAAGCAGTGTTTCCTAGAAGAGCTATCACATATTTCTTCTGTAATAAAGGAGTCAGGCTGACTGACGATATGCATATGGATGTCCTCTCCAATATAAATACTGCAAGAAAGGTGAGTATGGAGTGCTATGCTAAGAGAAGGAAAATGAAACATGGAAGTATTAGTTGGGGAATATCTGGCAGAGAAACAGCATGGCAGAAAATTAGGTGCTATAGAAATTTACAGGTGAAACGTGTCAGCAATGGGATGCCAAAACCAGGAAATGGTATTCTGGGGTATATTAACAAAAAAGTCATATAGAACACATAGGAGATAATTACCGTGCTCCACTCCTCCTTACAGGGACTTCTGCAGGAGGTGGGTGCTGGCTTTGGTGAGTGCTGGCTTAGGTCACTGAGCTCTGAGGAGACTGTAAGAGAAAGAAAGAAGAGGTTCAGAAAATAAGACCTATAAATACAGGTTGAAACAACTGGCTGTCTTTGGTCTAGAAGCAAGAAAATTCAAGTGAGATGTATGTCTTCTAACACAAAAAAGGACTATAAAGGTTATAAAGAAGGGATTGATAAAACTATTGCTGTATAATTGTCAGTTCTGCTAAGGGAAATGGCAAAATGAAATTAGTTTAATTTGCAACAAAAGAGAATTCAGACTTACATTTTGGGGGTTTGGTTTTTGGTTTTGGTTTAGAAAGTGTATTGATTTGGGCTGAAAATTTAAAGAACTATCCTAAGAGCAATAAAGTTCTTCAACAGCTTTCCAGTAGGAGTAATGATGATAAAATGGTAAAGCTCACTATTTTTAAGGTGGACTTTAAATACACTCTGTAGAGCATCAAATCTAAATAGAAAGATAAATGGATTTTGTACAATCAGTACTCCAGTATGTACTGATACAGTTCACAATAAAGACTCAATAGTGCTTATAGTGGTCCTGTTCTGATTTGTCTTTTAACTTTTTGGAATTGTGAAGTAACACTTCCTTTTTGCTCTTTGTAAAGGTCAGTTAGCACTTCATATAGACTTGCCCACATTTCATCAGGGATATAGATGGTGTATTTTTACAACCAAGCAGTATTTCTGGACCTGCAGTATAGAGTTATAGCATTAGCCTTGCATCTCTCCTTTGCCCTTTTGGTTGTTGCAATGTATTGCTGTCCCACAGCATTTCAGCCAGATAAAATTGTTTTAGAGAACCAGATTCCAGGCTTCTTTATAGCACAATCGATTATCTATACCGCAGGTGTGGCCTTTAACATTGCCAGCACATGCTATAAAGGAACCAAAGTCCAACTGGAAATCTGGGATGTTTCCCATAAAATAAAACAAGTATGTTTTCTTCTACTTGCTGTCTAACCTACTTGCTAGCAGCAGTATCTGAAAGTATCATCTCTAGCTGGCCCATACTATAGGTATAAAAGACAATAGAAGCACTTAAATTTGAGAGGTTGAGGGAAGAGCTTTGGATGCCATAGATTAAGACCCTGAAGGAAGGCGAAGGAATTTGTTGATCTTTGCAATCTGCGTCTGGAAGAGTGCCCAGTCAGGACACTACTTTGCTGGTACTCCAAACCCCACAGAGAAGGTACCATGGAAGAGCAGGTATGATAGTGGTTGCATGATTGTTTTGAGATAATTTAAATAATAGCTGCTTTGAAAGAGATGGTTGCTATGCAGCCCTTTGCTCCACGGCATACTTTCTCTGTGCTGCCTTGTGTTGCCCCTCACGTTCATGCATTCTCATGCAAGTGAGGTCAAGGGGCTGCTCTATCTGAAAACCTAGCAAGAAGCAATAGTTCCCCACCAGATCAACTTCTGCTCTCCCACACACATTAGTGCAAGTGCCAGTGGAAAGCTGGGAGCAGTAACATCTCCCAGGGTACCAGGGAAGGCTGAGATCAAATGTTTCAGCTGCTGTCTGCAGCTACACTGGCTTAAAGATGCCATGAAATGCAGCTGAATCGGTCTGCTGCTATGCCTTCATTATTTGGATGAACATGGCCGATGCTTAAAGAAGCTTGAGCAGCTTCTGGTTCATCTGCAGGAGGAAAGCAGCCATGTCTCCCTACAAGGCTAGGCAGCTCTTCCATGGAGCCCCCACAAAGCTGCAGAGTTGGGACAACTTGCTCATGTCCCAGAATGCAGCTCTGATGGGTACCATTTCCATGTGCTTCAGGTGGACGCTTAGTTTATAAAATACATAGTATGTATAGAAATGTGTATGTATAGCAATTGAAGGTACAATATACTTCTATGATTTATCTTCCTAATTAACTTGTTCTACTTTGCTAATACATAAATTCCTAATACAATTTCCAGTTTTGAGGAGAGGGTATTTCTAGAGGCAAAATATTCTCTCTGAGTCATTGTTTTTGTCCTTGTTCTCAAGTTTTGCTGAGAGAAAAGGGAAGAAAGGAAATTATAAACTGAACGGTCTCATGAAATTACAAATTATAAATGAGGAATCTGATCTGAAGTGTGTGACAGGACATCCTGCCATGCTGCTTTCTCAATCTTTTACTTTTTTGTAAATAACATCTCCTTTCCTAGGCGAGAAAACAGAAGTGACACTATATGACTTGTCATTTTATGAAATGGCTGAGTACCTTTTTAAGTTCCAGTGGAACGTTAAGTAGTGTGGTAGGTGAATTCCTAGTTCTGCTATAATGTATTCTCTTCCTTTTTTGTCTGAAGTTGTGCAGGAAGCCTTTAAACCACCATGACTAATAAGGAATTTTCTAAAGAAAATTGCTCTTGACATGTTATTCTTTGTAAATAGGTGTAGTATTCTGCCTAGTCTGGTATGAATGCTTGCTTTTTGGCATTGCTACAGAGCAAGGTGAGCAGCCTGCCCTGCCATATGCACAGCTCTGGCCTACAGGCAGCATTGTAGATTTCTACATCGCTCATTCCTTCCCTGTGTTCCTATTACAGTGACATAGGTTGAGACTTCTTACACTTGAATGCAAGAAAAATAAGTCTGCCTCCAGTCTTCCTTCTTTCCCAAAACCAAGGCTTCCTCAAGTAACGGAAAATGGATGCTTGTTTTCAAAGACAAGGCTTCAAGCTGAAGACAGGTTGTATGCCTGGGCTTTAAGAATTATCACGTTTCTTGATGAGGGGGTGGAAACTTCTCTTTGATGGAGTTAGTGTATCTCCAAATATAATATAGGTACCAAAAAAAGCTGATTTTGAAACTTCCATTAAAATAAGTAAAAGATGAATGCTATTTGCATACAATAAAACAAATGTATTGCTCCAGGACCAAACTCACTTGCACAGGCAAGATAGATGCAATGTTGTTAACTACCTGAATGCAATGATTTGCAATGCATCTATCTGGAAAATACACTTTTTATTTTAAGAGTGAAATGCAAGCCTGTTCTTTGTAATAAAATTCTGTCCCTTTGATTTCACCTATCCTGAATTTTGAGGTTTGTGTATGCATGCACAAAATCCAAATACAAATCAGTTAAAAGTGCTGAATGTTACCTCTTTGGGGGTTATGTGAATGTCTCATCTTTTTGGTCGGTAACAATACCTACTTGATGTTTTTCCTTGGACTGGAAAATATCAGTCAAGGTAAGCACAAAGAGTATTCTTTCTTTCCTACCATTTTTTACTTTGTGTATCTCCTTTTGTACACACAGGTGAAGGTTAAAATCCTGTTAAAGTAGGAATTTCCAAAAGCACAAGGTTATGTAAGTAAGCCTGCAGAAAATGGGTATCTGACTTCATTGTGTCACAGAAATGCCTGTTGAAGGAATCTCTGGGAGTCCCCTCCAGGCAGAACTATTGCCAGCCATATTCCTTGCCTGGCGAAGTCCTTTAAAACCTCCAACGATAGAGATTCCACCATGTGTCCTTATTTTCCTTAATGCCCAACCCAATCCTATTTGGCAATTGCCTCTTACTACATTGTCTGTAACTACCAAGAAGAGTTTGGTTTGCCTCCATCATCTTTCTAACTGCACTGCAAGTTGTCTTAAGCTGCTGTTTCTTTTGTTCATTTAGATTATCTCTGTAACTATCAGAGAAAGCTTTAAATCTTTTCTCTCTGCACTAGAGCTGTGCTCTCTGTGCTAGCCAGCGCTTAACACAGCTGCAATATGTAAACTGGTAAATTAAATATTAGCCTGGACATTGGATAACTTAGCACAGAGAACTGCCTGTATTGGGGAGGTTTGGGACTGACTGCACACCTTCCACAGCATGCTAACTACTAAAGAAATAAATACACACATGAAATCCCTGATCTTAAATATTTGCTAATTTGGAGACAGATTGTGGTTTGTTTTGGCAAATAACCAAGCCTGAGCAGTACTAGAAAATTTCCCTGCACCCTCCTTGTACAAAAGTGAGCTTTTCCAGCTCTAAATAAGACTGATCCAGTGTTTGCAAAGAAGTTTTGAGCAGAAGAGCTGGATCCTTGCTTCAATAGTTTTGACTCTACCTAAGGTGCCTGAGCTGAATGTTTAAAAGTTCGTCAGTCTTTTCATAGGCACTGGAGTTGGCTTTAGACCAAGAGAGGAATATTAATTTTCTCAGAGGATAGTCCAATAACTTAATATTGGGGCTCTTGAAAATTTTGTGGGGACTATGGTCATATTCAAATCCACAGTTTAGCATCACCTTAGAAACACCCTCAGAAACAGTTTAGCATCAGCCCAGAGCTAGAAATTAACTGTTACAGGAAACAGGTAGTATACAAAAAGAATGCCAGCTGGACACAATAGCATGTAATAGGGCAGAGCAGTAAATTCAGCACATCACATGACACAGTTTGTTTAGCAATGTATTTTCAGAAAAATACTTTTCCACCTGCCTTGCAACTGCTTTTCTAAGGGGAGGGCAAGGGTTGTGTAGATGCTGTAGGTATGGGATCATATGTTGCAGCTTGTAATTTTGTTAACCTTCAGCTCTATTCAAATACAGGAAAAAAACATTGCAAAACATTAAGTCTGGATGAATAAAGAGGTATAAATGTCTGGCAGTTCAAGCCCTGAACCTACAGAATCTAAACTGCATTTATTTCAGGATCAGTGCCTCCCCACTGGAGCTCTGGGTTTCACTGTACAAGTTTTGAGCACATTTCATTGTCACCACAAAGCTGTAATCCTCCTGCTTTTTATTTTAAGGGAAATCAGTTGTGACTTCCTTTAAAAAAAATCTGACAGATTGGTTTTTATAGATGGGGAAGCAGACTGTCTTCTTTGCCTTGAGGTTGTGAAGACAGAATAATTTTACACTAGATTACAAAAGAAAAATGAAAATTGCTTCTTCTAGCTCTTCTCTTTGTAAACCCATCTAAAGGAAGATTTTCCTTCCATTCTCAGTAACATACACACATATATATATTTATATGTACAGTTAAAAGTTAAAATCATCTTGTCCTGTCAGTTTTCTTTGTTCAGCTTTCAAACCTTTCACATTA